TCAGACCAGCAGTACAGCACCAAACCCAGTGCTAGCCAGTTATGTGGACTTTCCTGCCATGGGAACATGGGCTATGTCCCCAGAGGGGTAGACATTTGCTCTGGATTAGGATTTGCCTTCCTTGAGGCTCCCCTTCCAACATCACTACTCTTGGACTTTTGCAGGGTGGGCCCCAGCCTGAGTCAGGCCCACCTGGGGGCAGAGCTCGGCCTGGAGTCAGGATTCAACTGGGCTAGAAGCCTGGCTGGGGCTGGGGAGGAGGAGGGGATGTCAGTCAGAGTCCAGAAGGGTCAGACTTGGCCTACAGTTGGAGTTTGACCAAGAGTCAAACTCAGATTAGAGTCAGGGCTCAGCCAGATTTGGGGCTTGACACAGGGGACATGGAAGAGACAGGGAGTTTAAATTAGGAGGAGCTGTCAGGCCTGACTTGACTTGAGGGAGACGGGGACAGCTGGATCATGAGCTTCAGTCACACTGGCTTTTGGCTGGAAGTTGCTGACTTCTGTCCAGCTGTGCCATCCTCTGCTCCTTACAGTGGCCACAGTAGGCTCTGGCCTGTGTCCTGATTATGCTGGGTGCCCATCCCTCTTAGCTGCTGGTCTGAACTTTGGGCCCTGAACCTCAGAAACTCCTAAGAGTGGGTGACCTGTTTCCTACCATCTGTGTGCTCCGTTGGTGCCCCTACATGTACTCCCTATGCTGCCTGGTGGTACCAGGCAGTACCCATGCATCTGCTGAAGTGCTGCAGGGGCTCAGCCTGCAGCTAGGCCCGCCTGGCAACCAGAGGTGGACATAAACACACACATACACACACTTGGTTATAAACAAGAATTAGTTTTATTTTTATCCCTTTTTCTTAAAGGCTGTCTGAATGAGGGAAAGTCCTAGGCTGGAGGACAAGGAGGCCATAGGTGAGAACCTGGGAGCTCCCTTCCCCAAGCATCGCCAAAGCCACATCCCCCAAGGCAAGGCCCAAAATCTTCACGGAACTTCAAGTATGACCCAGAGGAATGAGTAGTGGTGGGTATCAGCAAGAGCTCAGACAGGGATGTGAGCCATACATGCCCTGGGCTCCCTGCCCAGGGACTGGGAAGAGACCAGCCCTCCTGAGCTCTGGCTCTGTTGAGCAGGGACTTCTAGCTTCTGATACTGCTCAGGAACTGCACTGGGGCACAGGGCAGTAGTGTGCTTGTCCCCACTTTCTGCAGCAAATGGGGCCTGTTCCCTAGCATTTCACTGCCCACCCCACCCCCAGCCATTGTTCTGGTTCCTGCAGAGCTGGAAGCAATACTATACCATTTGTATACTGGGGAAAACTGAGGCCAGGGAAAAGCAGAGACCCATTTTCTGGCCTCAGACCCCAGCTAGGCTCCAGAATGTCAGCAGGCCCTCCTCCTTTAGCGAATGCTGGCCTGGGAACAACGCAGCCCTCGTGGCTCTGGTCCTTAAATCCTGAGGGGGCGGGGGTGGCCAGGACTGCAGTCAGAGCCAGCACTGCCCACCTACTGCCTACTTGTCCCTAGCTGCACATGCCTGCCCATCTCCCTCCCCGCCTCTCTGGGATCCCGTCCGGCTGACTGTCACTGGACCCCTCAGTTCCTCCCCACAGCCTGCAGGCTGTACATCAGGCGGGAGGAGCCTCTGGAGAGGGGCCGGTGAGGCAGCACCCCCTCCCTCAGATCCATACGGTCGTCTTGCCGTCCCTGCTGCTGGCGCTGCCTGGCTCAGAGCCGGCCTTTGGCTTGGCGCCCTGCCGCTCAGGGGCTCCGCCTGGACGGCCTGGCTCCCCGACAGTGCCCCCAGAGGTGGCGCTGCCGGTTCGGGAGGAGGTGGCAAGGCCTGCGGCCCGGGGCGCAGCCCGCGCAACAGCGGCCAGATCGGGTGAGGGGGGGCTGTGGCGGCCACGCTCACGCAGAGCCTGCAGTGCCAGGTTGGCCAGGTTCTGGTCATGGGCGCGCGCGCGCTCAGCAGCGCGCACTACCAGGCTGTAGTCTGGCGGTCCTACTGGGCCGGGCGCAGCGGGCGCGAAGGGGCATGGCGGAGGCGGGCGTGGCACAGGGCCTGGGGTAGCGACGGGCGGGCGGCGGCGCGCGCGCACGGCGTCCTGCGCGCTGCCTAGACCCAGGTGAGCCATCTCGCAGAGGTTAAGCAGCAAGCAGAGGCAGCTGACCACGTACATGACCAGCAGGAAGACGGTCTTCTCTGTTGGCCTCGACACGAAGCAGTCAACCATGTGTGGGCAGGGCTGGCGGCTGCAGCGGAAGAAAGGCCTCACTTCGAAGCCGTACAGCAAGTACTGGCCCACCAGAAAGGCGACCTCGAAGACAGCACGCGCCAGCAGCTGCGCCACGTACGCGCGCATCAGACCCTCGCGTTGTATGCGCCGCCGCCCGTCGTGCTTGGCGGCCTGGCCTGTGGCCCCCGCTGCGGTTTTGCTGTCCATATCGGCCACTTTGGCGGCCATCGCTGCCGCCTCTTCCTCCTCTTCGCCCAGGCCCTCGGCTGCCTCCAGCTCCTCCTCCTCGCCCAGGGCGAGCATGGGCTCCTCCTCGCCCAGGTCCGAGGGCTCAGGCCAGCCGGGGTGGGGCGGCAGCGGCGGAGGCGGCGGCGGCGGGCGGCGGGGACCCGGCTGGCGACCAGAGCGGCGGCGGAGCGCACGGCGTCGCTCCTCCTCAGAGGCCCGTGCCAGGCGGTGGATGGCGTAGCCCAGGTACATGACGGAGGGCGTGGAAATGACCACTATCTGAAAGACCCAGAAGCGCACGTGGGACAGCGGGGCGAAGGCATCGTAACAGACATTGTCACAGCCTGGCTGCCTCGTGTTGCACGTGAACTTGCTTTGCTCATCGGAGTAGATGGACTCCCCTCCCACCGCTGTGAGCACAATGCGAAAGACGATGAGCACCGTGAGCCACACCTTGCCCACGAAGGTGGAGTGGTTATGGATCTCCTCCAGCAGCCGCGTCAGGAAGCTCCAGCTCATGTTGGTCATAGGGGCGGGCGGGTGGGACCTGAGGTCAGGCCAGATAGGCAATCAGTACGGCTGGAGGCCTGTGGAACCCTGGAACTGCACCTCTACCGGACAACCCCAGAACCCACAGGAGGCAGACCACAGATGTCTCTGCTAGTCCAGCACCCAGAGCAACCTCCCTCCTAGGATTTTGCTTACACAGCCGTGGTAGTGGGGAACTCAGTACCTCACACTGAAGGAGGCAACCTCTGCTAGGATGAGTGCATGCTGCTTCCACTCCAGGTCCTAACCCTGCCCTTGGGATACAGGGAAAGGTAGCTAGCTGTCTCTGCCAGAGGACACACACAAGGATAGCCTCATCTCCAATGCATCACCTTACCCCTGGGCCCACGCCAGGCCTGATGCCCAAAGCCTGGTCCTGTCTCACCCTCCCCCAGACTACCCTAGGAAAACCTGGCAACGTCAGCAGTGCTCCTTCCCCCAGCTCTAGGGACCCCACCTTAGGCACTGAGAGGCACAGAGCCACAAAGCTGGCAGGGTAAGTCCAGTAGCCACCTTCCCGAAGCCGAATGGGAAACTGAGGCCAGCCCTGCTCAGTCTGTGGAGACTGCACAACCTCAGCTCAAGGTGTACTCAAAATGTGCCCACACCCCATTTGCTCACTTGCCTCTCTCCCCTACCTCGGCCTGGCCCAGCTCACAGGGGAGGCACCGCCACCACTAACCATGTTTCTGCATCCTGCAAGGCCCATCCCATGTGACTGCCTGGGGTTTGGCCCCCAGGCTTCAGCTCCTCAGCCACTCTAGCCCCTCTGCACCCCTGCGCACTGGTCCCCAAGTCCCCCAGCCCATGCAGCCCCATCAATTCCCAGCTCCCCCAGCCCTCCAACACCCCAGCTCTCCAGTTCCTGCAGCCATCCAGCATTCCAACCCTACAGCTCCCTCAGTCTTCCAGCACCCCAGTCCTGGTGCTCCTTCCTTGTCTTCCTCCTACATAGAGCTCTGGTTGCTCCATCTCCAAAAAGTATCCCCATCCTCACTGTGTCTCCTCTGTTGGTCCAGCTGCACAGGGACTGCCTGGCTGCCGTTCCTAGTGCTGGAACTGTGGGTTCCTCAGCCCCTCTGACTGCCACTGCACCTCTCCCAGGCTGCCCACCTCTCTCTGTAGCCTTGAACCTGGACTGGCTCCTGGCTGGGGAGGTGGGGTGAGCATGGGCATCTGTCCAAGGTGGACAGTGAGGCACATAGATGCACGTATACAGTCAAGCACATGTACAGTCACACTTGTGCACACTCAGCTGCACACAGCTGTATGCAGTCACAGACACATTCAGTCAGCACAGCACCTGTGACGCTCAGACACAGCTTTGGGGCCATATCATGGTAGCAGAGCAACTCTTCCTCCCAGAATCAGCACTCTGCTCCAGCTGACCCTCTTAGTGGAGATATGCCCAAGAAAAGGGTCTCTATGGCAGGGCCACAGGGCTCCTCCCCTGCACCTCCAGCACATGAGGATCTCCCAACTGCCCCTTCCCCTTCCTTCCTAGGAGGTCTGCTCTAGGCCCAGTACCTGCTCCTGGTAGGTTTTGGGCAGGAGAGCCCAGAACGATCGACACTTCTGGTCCCTTCCCTCCTGGACCAGGGCCTGGGAGGCAGTATGCAATGGGCAGCAGTGGGCAGATGTGAGATGGACTAGGAAAAGTAGGCAGGGCACAAGCCTCCAGGCTCCTGGCCCTCTTTATGCAGCTGGAACCCTTTCCCCTCCCTGCGCAGGAAGAGGAGCCAGCCAGAGTTCCTGGGGAAGTGGCCCCACTTCCTCACATCTGTACACAGCCTCACACACACACACACACACACACACACAGAGTCACCATGCAGATACAAAGTGTGCTCACACACACATGCACATTCATAGACAGTCACCATTCACATGCACACTCACACATGCACCCGGTCATAAACACTCATGCAGATACAGTCTATATACAGACAGATAAACAATCACTTCAAACCCCCAGAGATGCACTATCACACATGCAATGCACATATGCGTAGTCATGAACGTTTATGCATGCAGACACACACAACTCGGACATATTTACCACACATACATGCATATGTGTGTGCATACATACAGACACACAGAGATTGATGTGTCCAGTCCTCCAGGGGCCATCTTCATTCCTCTGCCTCAGGTAAGGACACACAGGAAGGAGGCCTGATGTCATTCCTGGTAGGTGGCTTCAGACTCCCTCAACATCCCTACAGGCTGGCTGTTCATCCTTAAGTCTCACCCCAATTCTCTAGGATCTGTCCCAGTCCCTGACCTTGATAGTTCCCTCACTGGCTCCCCGACAGTGCAGGTGGCAGAGGCACGACTGAGGCCCACTGGGTCCAGACCCAGAAATGGGATGGCAGAGCAGCCCCTCCCCCCAGGCCTCTAAGGGTATTAGGTACAACAGCCCACTAGTCTCTTTTCTCCTTGCCCAAGACTGAGCAGGCCCTAGGGTTAAGTGGTAGGCACTGTAGGAGGAATGATGGGAAGAGATTCTAGAGGAGGCTGAGGAGGCCACAGAACTGTCAGGTAGATATGAGAAAGATGAGGCAGTCTGCTTCTGTAAAGATTTACATCCTTGAAAACCCTATAGGGCAGTTCTTCTCTGTCCTATAGGGTCACTATGAGTCAGAATTGATTCAATGGCAGTGGGTTTGATTTTGGATAGTGTAAATACTCCCACCCAGATGACTTCAAACTACCAACTGACATATGAATGTGATTATGAAGAAATGTGCACCTCCACCCTAGCATAGCACTGGACTGGCCCTGATGACTGAGGGAAGTCCTGCCTGGGTGCAGTCAGCCCTGGGAGAAGCTTTAGCAAAGAAGAAAGGGTCATCAGAGAAGGCCTCCTGGAGACAGGTGACTCTGAGTGGGGGACACTCCTGGGCTGTAGGTGTTGGGGAGTGAACTTCTCTCTCCCTTCCTCTAGTGCCTCCTGTCCTGGGTTCTCTGACAGAGGGGAAGGCTTGCTGACTCTAGCTCCAGAGAAGGAGTACCAATGGAGAACCTTAGACAGGATGGGTGGGGCTGTTTGCAGTACCACCATCATCTCCGGGCCAGTGGCACCTGCTGTGGCTCTGGAGACCTGGGGGCTCAAATATATGTGTTATACATGTGTGTGCACAAAGGCCAGCGTTACTCATGCACATGTGTGCGCACACATAATCAAAGTCTAGTAGGTGCATGCATCCATTTGTTTGATTAACTTGATTCCAAGTGCTATGGTGATGGAGGCAGCACTGACCCAGCTCTGCTCTGGAAGAGCCCAGTCCCTGGTTTTGATGCTGTCCACAGGCAAGACTCCCAAATCCACACCTCTCCTGCACACCGCACGTGCATGAGCAGCTGTCTCAACATCTGTAGCTGGATGCCCAACAGGCATTTCAAACCCCAGCTCCACACCAGCTTCCCCATCACAGAGGACAGAGACCTTGAAGTTTTCCTTTCTCCCACACTCCCATTCATTGCATCCAGAACCTAGTTATCGCTTGCCACCTTGCTGCTAAGCCAGCCCGAGTGCCAGCATCCCTTGCAGGGTCACCAAGGCAGCTATTCTTGATGGCCTCTTCTTCCACTTCACTTTTTCCTCCCTATGATCCTTTCTCCACACAGAAGCAAGGGGACTGCCTTAGAAATGTCCATTGATTTCTTCCACAGCACTTCTGTGATTCCTCATGACTTTTAAAATAGATTCCAAGGCTTCACCTGGGCCACAAAGCCCTTGGTAACTTGTCCCTGTCCCCCTCCCTCATTTTCACTCTGGGCACTCTTCTTGCTGTTCCCAACACAGGCCAGGCTCTCTCCTGCCAAAGGCCGTTGTCATGACTTGCTGTTCCTTGGCCTGGCATGCCCCATATGCTCAGTCCCTCCTGAAATCTGCTTCTCTGCTGATAGCTCCTAGAGGCCTGTTGAGGAGACATCCAAAACACCATCGGCCAGCATGGGCTAACAGTTCTGATACCATTCTACATGCACACTAGGATGGAACAATTCTGTAAGTGGATGGCAGATGGTGGGAGTTGGCTCTCTAACTGTTTAAGTGGGAGGTTGCAGACACACCAGGGAAGAGGCCAAAATGACCCATGTAGTATGGACTAGAGCTGGAGACAGCAGTATGAATTCATGCTCATCTGTATCTCAGATGGAGATAAAGATGGTTAAATATAGAAATATACACATACACACAAGTTGGCATATCTTGACCTATCTTTTCTTGCTTTTCCCCAGAGGTCTACAAGCAAGGGTCCAAGCAACAAGTGCACCCAGCACCCAGATTTTGGTTTCCAATACCATTCTCCAATAAAACCAACCAGAGCTCCTTAGAGAAATAGCCAAGCCTCAGGCTGGAGTAAGGAATATACAAGATGAGTCTGCATCAAAAAGCCTGTGCTAATGAGTACCAAAGGCCATAGGAACCAACAGAAGTAGCGCCAATGGCTGTGGCTGGAACAATGAGAAACAAAGTATTATAACATACAGTATAAATGAAATACCTGTGAGTCTATACTGATTTAAATAAATGATTGGATAAATGACTAAATGGAGAAGAGACAAATCTTCTGGGCAGAAGAATTCCAAATAATTTGTATAAACTCTCTACCCTGAGGGAGGTGGGACATATATGTTCACTCTGAAAGGGTGGATTTCCTTCCAAAGAGTGTGATATGGAAGGAGGAGGGGAGGGAGGTAACTTCACAATGGAGAAACCTGACAAACATGATCTCAGCCAGGTGATCAAGGTCAACAGCAACAGTGATAAGTTGTGATGATAGTAGGTACCCTTGATATGATTTGATGAGAGTAGAGCTTCATCTTTGTGGGCTTTCTCCCAAAGACCCATAACTAGTCTCATCATGAGAAAAAATATTAGACATCCCAATAGAGGGGCATTCTCAATACCATCAAGGTTATCAAAATCAAAGAAAATCACAGAAACCAACTCAAGAGGAGTCTAAGGAGAC